GAGTGTACCTGGAGAGATTACGCTAAAGTGGTAGTTACAAAAGATCTTTGTCTCCTTTACTACGTCGTTTCTTGGTTCAGGGGCACTGTGGCTCGATGGTGCGGATTGCTGCTCTCCCGTACCAACATACTGCTCTGTCGCTGAGTTTTCTATGGGACCGCAACGTGTCCTTCCCGTTGTAAGGCAGATGCTACCTGGTTGGTCTCTATAAGGGCATTCATGAAGCATTTCTGCTGTGGATGGCGGGTGCTGGATGTCTGAATCGGATAGGATCACTGATCCTGGATCAGGTTAGTGACTCGAGCCGCATCTCGCTCTAAATCGATTCGCGAAATCTCACCTGGCAGGATCTCGCAAGATTGCTGGGACATGTCGATCTTTCGTGCCTTTTGTGGGAGTCGTATCGACATTTTGGCACCTGCTATATTCTTTGAAATGCCGTCAATTCTATTTTGATAGCTTCCATCGATCTCCAGCGCAGTTGTTTTCGTGTATCTACGATAAGAAATAAAATTAGAACTCCTGTTCAATGATCAGGATTGAAGCATGGGAGGTCAACTATCTAATATCTCTTACCGTGGTCTCCCACGCGAACATGGAGCAAAGCTGACCAGATCTTCGATGCTGCTACGGCCATCTCTGAAATCCAAGTATCCTTGTTCCAGTAGGTGGACCCCTAGGCTATGCTCGCAGACCCTCACATATTTCGTTTTATAACAGGTACAAGCGAACTCCTCTGTGGCATCGATGATATGCACATTGCTTGTAACGTCACGGAAATGTTCCCAACTCCCCCAATCAGTTGATGGATGCCCCAGGAAGCGACATACATAGTGGCCAGTAGGTGGGAATACATTGAGGCCGACAGATTCCTATTAGACGATAGAGTGATCAGCAGTTCGGATTTCAGTCATAGCTCAGCAGAGAGGTTGTAGCTTATGAGTATTGCTGAGGCAATCACTACGTGAAGGGTTCCAAAGAGAAAACGGAAATGTTCCTCCCCCATCGTCGGCCTCGTGAACATGTTCAACAGGAGAATGCTCGAAGTATCAGCATATGCTCTTTGGGGTGCCGAACATTGCAATACTACAAAAATGAGGCACATAGCCCTCAAACTCGAAAACTTCTACTAAACAATGTCTAAAACCCTATCATCGTCCTGCTCTGCGTTCAACACGTGATCCACGTTGTTGACTAAGCGTTGCTCAGTAAGCAACAGTGTTGGAATAGACTATGTTGGCTTTCCCCAACTAAGCACAGGAGTTTCCTCGCTTATCGTATGGGTTCATATACGAAGGTGGGCAGCCCCAATATTCCATTTTGTCACCGACTCATGTAGACCACATGCCTATTTTCACACACTGTTGAGCGGTGTTGCGGCGTAGTTCCATCGCTCACTGACTCTTGAACGGTTATTCTCCTGGAAGAGCTATTGATAACTAACTCTCGTGCAACCCAATATTCACTCCTTTCGTGACTAAATATCAGAAGAAAACGAAAAATCAAATTCCAGGTGTGAACCACTGGACGCATCGCGGACTCAACTCGTAGTTTCACGGGCTCTCAACCTTTCTTCGACAAGTCCGATCAGGAATATACGAAAGAGGAAGTCAACTGATATATCACGATCGTAGCACGATTCGAACGATATACCTGTGAACTTCACAATTCACATATGTTCACAAGGAGGACAGAGTTGGAAAATACCATCACGAGCAAACGAACCTATGAAGACTGACGGACTGAGTGAGAGAACGTGGAAAGACTGACAGACTGACTGTTTGCTGTACCAATAGATTGGCGTAGCACATAGTGAGAAGGACGCCACTTCGAGGTGGAAGACTCCAGAATGATGATCTGGAGGTGAGCTCTTCGAGATGACCATCACTTGTTATACATGCATATAACACCGAAGTACCCCACCTTATAGGCGTACATGCCAGATGGACATCCCTGAAATGAATGAAAGCCTCAAACAATAATCTACAAAGTGAGATTGGCATTGCCAACTTGGCAACATCGTCATCACTCACGGGGTTAGGCACGACGAAGCACATCCCTGATCGACACTCGGTCCGACCCAGTGCGGAGGCTGGGCAACTTCCCCCTTTCCCTCCTAACATTCTGATGCTATCGCCAGCTTCTCTCAAAGTCCTTCTACCGCATGATGGAGCACAGACGAATGCCACTACTTTCCCTCCACTCTGAGATGAATACGTCATCACAGAAACGTCGAGGTGGGGGTTTACAATGCCACCAACAGCATTTTCGCCTCCTTGGCAGTGGCAGTAAAGGAGCATGCCCCCGCTGGCTGTACATGGACCACTGGGGCGCTCGTACAATGGACCTGAAGCTCGTCAATTATATCGCCCTTCAGTTGGAGCATCCCACTCGAAGCAGCTGAGCTTTCGTATTCTCCCACGGCGCCATACCTATCGAGAAGGGATTGTTCCAAGCAAAGGAGTAGAGGAACTCACGGATCATTTGATATAGCCAACGATAGAGCGGTTTCATCATAAGCACAGCTACCGATGAATAGAGCAGCGATTAGAGTCAAGGAGTGGAGCATCGGGATGACTAGAGTAATCAACTCGCCTGATGAGTCTTGTGTTATCGGGCGACTCGCGAGATCGCGACGCGACAGAATACTTACCCGGGGCAAGTTGCCCCTGTCTTGGCTCTGCCGAGCGAGCGGCTCCGAAAAGAAACACTCGCGGCCACACTAGCGTCTACTGTGCGGTTCAGCGCAGAGTACGGAGCCCTGCTAACGTGTGATCATGCTATACCGTTAGTATGATATCATTTCGTTACGGTCATACCCCGTCATTTTGGCGAGACGAGAATTCTCGAGAATAAGGATGAGCACGACTGAGCCCTGTTCTCTCTCGGTCTCGTTCTCGCGATATTTCGCGGGATTTAGGGGGATTTCACGTAATATCATGTGATTATAGATTCTCAATTCGTGAGTCAAAGATTGAGTGTCGCGATAACTTTGAAATATGAGATGCTGTGGTGAAACACCCCTCGGCAACACAGCTGTCTCACTCCTCTGACACACCACATTGGCCATACTACCGAATCTTGCATGGACAGTAACATAATGTCTGTCTCTCAACGAGGAAAGCCCCATGAATGGTGTGGATGATCGATTTCAGCGATTGTGCCGCTCTGTCCCTTTATCTTCTCTCGTCTTTTCTTCACTCATCTACCACCAACCACTACTTCCACTGTGGAAGTTCCACAGTGGAAGTTCCAGCACATTGTTCTGCTGTGTCGAGCAGGGGCCGTATGCGGATCCTGATGCAACAGGTGAGTCAGAGTATTTACTCAGATGAAAAAATCAGATGGTGAGTAATAACCCATGATTCGCTGATTTTTTACTCTGGAGCAAGAAATCAGGATCATCGCGAGGATATGTGGATCACTCAACTGATTGAATTAAGGAATGCGTAGTTCACACCGTGTGGTTGCATGTATTACATGCGCTATACCTCCATACACCACTCTATACCGTATGATCTCATAGCTGAACTGGTTGAGCTAATACTTTCACATGCTCGAACCCGGGGTTCTATTCCCGGGCAGGGTCATATTGATACTCGTGCGTATGTACCACGTGCGCTATACCTCCTTGCACCGTGCTATATCGTATAATCTCATAGCTCAACTTGTTAAGGATAAGCTTTTACTTGGTCGAAACCGAGGTTCTATCCCCCGGTACGGTCATTCTAAAAACCTACTCGCGAGGAGCTGAGAAGGTCTACCGTGGCGCGCGCTGAAGTTGTGAATCAAGGTCGAGAATCAGAATCAGGGTTTGGTACCGGGGGTCCGGACCCCCGGTACAGAATCAAGATTAATCCCCGTGTTAAACTGTGAGCTTGTGCATCATGAGTATGATCCCGGATCATGCTCAAGGTGAGATTGCGATCTTGAATCTGAGCAGCTTTGAGGTTGAGTAAAAGAATCTCGACTCCTGAGAATTAATCTCGAATCATGAGTAAAAATCCCAACTCTGAGTATTTAATCTCGAATTGATGAAATACTCTGTCTCAGTGTCAAAAACTCTGAATCAGCCATTGAGTATAGATTTGAATCTTGAATCGTGATTAAGGATCAGGAATCGGATTCAGCGGCTGATTAAAATCAAGGATCAAGGAACTTGCTCATGATTACGTAATCTGACTCTGTCTCAAGTACTCATACTCACAAATCTCGACTCTCTCTCCTGAGCTAAGAATCTGAATCAGTTCTCTCGAATCAAGGTGTGACTTGAATCATGAATCAGGATCAGAGCGTGAGTTGAATCATGGACTCAGATTCATGAATCAGTATCCGCATACGGCCCCAGACCATTTCAACTGAGAGTCCTCGAATACTCTTCTCAGTGAGAAGTTCTCACTATTAAATTCAGCATCGTAGCGATTTACCGGTGGTAAATCACCACTCGTAGAACTAACTTATGAGGTTTGCGATGACATCGCAAACCTCATACATGGTTCTGCCGAACAGTCGTACATTGTACAGTAGGCTTTGTGCTACGACGTTCACAGCCGTGCTGTCACATGTCAGAGACCACACATGGCTATCTCTATTGCATCAGTATCTAGCGATAACTATCGCGTTGATGGTATGAACTTCATTTGATATAAATGACGGTGTTAATAACCACTGGTTATGGAGATATCAATCGTATTAAAATTGATTGTCAGACTCATCTTCCTAGAATATAAATCCTAGTGGGGCTATTCCTGAGCCCGGCTGATTCAGCTGCTTATGTTTTGGAACGAACGTTAGTCACGCAAGCTCCGCTGTCTGAGTTCTGCCGGCGTATGGTGAAGATGAAGTGTGGTGAGTTACTCACTGATGATAATTCAGCATTGAGGGACCGGAAATTCTATCAGAATTATCACGTTTCCAATGATTCGTGCAAATTCGTAGCCATTCTTCAGCGCTATTCTCTTCTCGCTCTCTCTCGCGAGAAGAGAATATCGCGAGACTCGTCTTTCTCGAGACTCGTATGCCGGGGTATGGTTACGGTTCTACTGTATTACGGCTGTTATATTGCTTTGTGCGAATCATGGTCTTTGCATGCGTGTTGTCTATTATTCCTGCGTGAACGCGGGCGTGTCACACACGTTAGGTCAATAGCTGAGGGATAGTATACAGTATTTGTCAAGTGACAGAGATTGAGTTCAATAAGTTATTTATGGTACTGACTAGAAGTGGTAAGAGCTGTAATACTATGGTGGATTACACTGACCATCCTATACCCGTGTCTAGGATTGTTAAGGTCAGGAGTCATGCTTCTCGTAAGGTCCGTGAGAGGCGGTATGAGAAGTCAATTGAGTCTGGTTTGGGTTCGGGTTTCGGACACTCTGCTCACCATGCTTTGGATTGCATGGACAACAGTCCAGACCCTCGCGGAAGCCATAAGTATATCTCAGCACGAATCGAATAATCTCAAGTAAAGATCTTGGTATCATCCCCCGCATAATATGCGGCGCATATTTTGGACCCATATTTGTTATCCACTGATATGAACTCAAGACTGTTAAGACACTGAATCGGGATTAGCAATGTTGCATGATTGACGTAGGAAAGAAAAGAGTGAAACCGTGATGAGTCATCAATTTGTGGACTCCATTAATTTTCTTTAATCGCCACTTCGCTCCCCTGGTCGCACAATTTCTTGTCTGGTCTGGTGGTATAATCTGTGTCTTCCCACGACGAGGCAAAACCCGTATTCATGAATCATGCCAAATCGCGGAAATCGGTATTCAGCAAGATTTGCTGCATTCCTCCATGCGTAGGTGTTATACCTACCATTTTCTCGCCGCCAACCAAATCGTTCTTTCACCAAGAACTACGCCGTTCTCTAGTCTAGTATCGAAATCGCCGACCCGCTGTAATCAGCGTAATATTCTGTGTTACCGCTTTTCTTGGTGTTTGGCAAATGAAATCTGTGCGGTGGTTACGCCCGGTTGCGCCGTTGTGGACACGGCGCTCATGGCATGCCCCTCGTTAGGTTCGTACGACGCGTTTAGTTAGAGTTTATCTGGAGCCCAGATGAACCGAGAGAACCCAGAGGTCCAGATTCTGGACAT